AGGACCTGGGTGCCACGGAGGAGAGGACAGGACCTGGGTGCCACGGAGGAGAGGACAGGACCTGGGTGCCACGGAGGAGAGGACAGGACCTGGGTGCCACGGAGGAGAGGACAGGACCTGGGTGCCACGGAGGACGAGGACAGGACCTGGGTGCCACGGAGGAGAGGACAGGACCTGGGTGCCACGGAGGAGAGGACAGGACCTGGGTGCCACGGAGGAGAGGACAGGACCTGGGTGCCAGGGAGGAGAGGACAAGGCCTGGGTGCCACGGAGGAGAGGACAGGACCTGGGTGCCACGGAGGAGAGGACAGGACCTGGGTGCCACGGAGGAGAGGACAGGACCTGGGTGCCACGGAGGAGAGGACAGGACCTGGGTGCCACGGAGGAGAGGACAGGACCTGGGTGCCACGGAGGAGAGGACAGGACCTGGGTGCCACGGAGGGAAAGGACAAGGCCTGGGTGCCAGGGAGGAGAGGACAGGACCTGGGTGCCAGGGAGGAGAGGACAGGACCTGGGTGCCACGGAGGAGAGGACAGGACCTGGGTGCCACGGAGAGGACAGGACCTGGGTGCCAGGGAGGAGAGGACAGGACCTGGGTGCCACGGAGAGGACAGGACCTGGGTGCCAGGGAGGAAAGGACAAGGCCTGGGTGCCAGGGAGGAGAGGACAGGACCTGGGTGCCACGGAGGAGAGGACAGGACCTGGGTGCCACGGAGGAGAGGACAGGACCTGGGTGCCACGGAGGAGAGGACAGGACCTGGGTGCCACGGAGGAGAGGACAGGACCTGGGTGCCACGGAGGAGAGGACAGGACCTGGGTGCCACGGAGGAGAGGACAGGACCTGGGTGCCAGGGAGGAGAGGAAAGGACCTGGGTGCCACGGAGGAGAGGACAGGACCTGGGCCGGGATACTCAAAACTACACGTCAGTTACAAGGCCCAGGACGTTGTAACCGCTTTGCAACATCGTACCTTCCGATCTCCTTACTACATTGTAACCCACCCATACTCAAAAAATAATTACGATGTAGTAAGCACATTGTAAGGCCCGTGTTTACATTGTAAAAGTTAATTCCATTGACTACCAAAAGAGGGCAGACCGGTAGTCGATTGACCAATCAGCAGTCACCCTGCTGGACGTAACAACCAATAGAAGGCCATGGTTGTCTTATTGCCACGCCCCCAACGGTCACCAACTCCATGGAAGGCCCAGCGACTGTCTCCCCGAGTAATATTTTTGAAAGACTTATTTCCTATACTCTTAACAATATGTTTATGAGGTCTCACATATGACTTACATACATTTTTTTCGGAAGTATAAGGCAAAAAATCATAATTTCATGCGAGAGTAAATTGATTTGAACATACACACGGAAGAGTCATTGATTATCGGAACAATAATTCTTAAAAAGGATTGTCTAGTTGGATATTTGGCATCAAACAAAGTTATAGTAAAACAAATCTAAGAAATCTGTGATATCGTAATAAATGCTTATCCTCTCCTAGCGTGAAACTAATGATTCCCTATAATAATGTCTCGGTCATGAGGATGAGCAGCCACCACAACATTGTTGTGTGTCGTCTGTCGTCTGTCAACTCAATTTACAGTCAATTTACATTTGATTCAAAATAACGATAATGCATAGAAAACAGAGAGTATGCTAGACAATTGAAATTCCCCGGTATTAAATATGGAAAAGGCAGGTTACTGTCAAATAAAGGTTTTTGTCGACTAAGTAATCGGGAAATAAACCGTAATATAACCGGTTTGAAACCCTTACAAGAGCTCCCGAGCAGTTGTAACTTACAAGGTACTTTACAATGAGTGACGTCATAACATGGCGGCTATTTTTGTTTCGAGTATGGCCCTCGGAGGAGTTACAATATTGTAACTGCTCCGATGTGAGATACAACATTGTAAACTGTTTTGAGCATCCCGCCCCTGGGTGCCAGGGAGGAGAGGACAGGACCTGGGTGCCAGGGAGGAGAGGACAGGACCTGGGTGCCAGGGAGGAGAGGACAGGACCTGGGTGCCAGGGAGGAGAGAACAGGACCTGGGTGCCGGGAGGGGAGGCCAAACTGGGTGCCGGGAAGGGAGGCCAAACTGGGTGCCGGGAGGGAAGGCCAAACTGGGGAGGGGGGGCGGGAGAAGCTGATTGGAGCGACAGGTGATATTGTTGGGTCAGTTGACAGAAAGGGAGGGCAGGCTGCTGGCGGTGATATTGAGAAGGGAGGGCGAGGCTGATGGAAGCGGTACGGCGGGAGGGAGAGAAGGAGAAGGAGAGAGGGGAGAGATGAGAAAAGCGTGTGAGAGGGATGGCTGGAAGAAGGGAGAGAGGGAGGGAGAAGGAGGAGGAGAAGGAGAAGGAGAGAGAGAGGGCGAGGGCGAGGGAGAGGGAGTGGGAGAGAGAGAGAGTGAGAGAGAGAGAGTGTGTTAGAGAGAGAGAGAGAGAGAGAGAGAGAGAGAGAGAGAGAGAGAGAGAGAGAGAGAGAGAGAGAGAGAGGAGAGAGAGAGAGAGAGAGACTCCAAGGCCAGACGTCTGTCACGCCTATTTCCAGGCAAGGCGGGCCGCTGGACAGGCCACTACCTCCAAAACACGTCCGGAACCTGTTTAAGGCAAAAGAATTCGAAGCAAGCGAAAAAAAAGGAAGGGCAAAGTTGAATAATTATGGAAGGAAACAAAAAAAAGAAAGAAAATAAATATGGGCATGGAGGAATGGGAAGGTGGGTGGCAAGAAGGATGAACAAACAAATATGGGGGAGGGGGGGCAGAGAGAGAGAGAGGGAGGGAGGGAGGGAGGGAGGTGAGAGACAGACAGACAGAGAGAGAGAGAGAGTTGAGAGAGGAGATGGAGAGAGGGAGAGAGGACGAGAGAGAGAGAGAAGAGGAGAGAGCGAGAAGATGAGAGAGAGAGAGGAGAGAGAGAGGGGGTGGGTGAGGGGGGAAGGGGA